GGCCCGTCCGCCGGGCCGCCAGAGGGTCTCGCGTGTCGGCGTCCTCGAGCTCGCGACGTCCGCTGTCCCGTCTCGCCACCGCCGGTGCCCGGAAAACGTGTATTGGCGACATACCGCCCATCACCCTAAAAGTGCACTTTCACGTACCTCTACTCGACCCCACGTCGCCACGCCATGTCTGTTTCCCTCGGCAAGGGGGCCGGGGACTTTCGGACGCCTTCACTTCGGGGAGCAACAACACAATCTGCGCACGGCTCCTCCGATGCCTCCCCGCGCGGCTGAGACGAACGCCGTCGTCCGGGGGTGCGAGTACTATTGGTTTCAGCCGACCGATCAAATCCCCAAAACTGTTCCTAACCTCGGGTCCGCTCGCCGCCGGTGTGACGTCCACCGCCTCGTCACACCGGCGTGTCTACAGCCACCTCAACAGGCGCGACCACTGAGTCTCCTATTACCGGCTCGACCGGTCCATCCCGGGGTTCTTCTTCCGGTCGGCCGACGATCGACGGCGTGACCTCGGCGTTTTCTGTTTTCGGCTCGTCCGGTTCTTCCGGTCGGTCGACGATCGACGCCTCGTCGCTGCCTGCGGACTTCATCGCATTACCTAGGAGCGTCGCCAGCGGTCTCCGGCGGTTGGGTCCATTCATTCCCCGTCATAATTGTCGAAAACGCTAAACTCTGTTTGCATATTTCCGTATTCTATTTAATTTATGAACTTTTCAATGATGTCTTTTCATCGTAGCGTCGATGCAGACGGCGGTTTCGATGTTATACGATTCGGATTCAGCCATATTATTGCAGGTTTTAGGTGCGGATATGGGATATGAGTTGGAAAAATGAATTGCAAGTGAGCCGATTTGTTCGATTTGTCTAAATATCACTGTAATCGAAATCAAATAATAATAAAATATAAATTAGATAAGTCAAACCCTCAAAAATAATATAATCCTCTATAATTTTTGTAGTAGAAAATGTTACCTGATGACTACTTAAAAATGATAAAAACGATTTCACATGAATGCGTTTTTTGAATATATTCCACACGGGTCTGGGAGAAAACCAATATTGCGCCGACATCCTCTCGAAAAGATCAATCATTAATGATTTGTTTAATAGAAAAATGAACGAAACAATGGTAACTCAAACACAGAGTGACGCGCGCACACTGCAGTTTTAGTGCCACACGCGAGTGACGAGTGTGTGAGTTCGATAATATTAAAGTTTTCGAACAACAAATTGAAGGGTTATCGGACTACAGTCGACACACAGGAAAAACAAAATCCAACCAAAATTTTTATTTGACACGCCGGTAGAAAAAGGTTAGCCAACCCCGGCGTATACTGCATAAGGCATAACTAACAATATAATCAAGATTTTCAAGAAGAAAAATTCGATACGTATCGATACGGAATAGTTACGTACCACCTCGTATCGAAGTCTGAGTCCGATACGGGTCGGCACGTATCGCTTGTATGCTGCAGTGCTGCACGTGTAATATCTTGAACGCTCAAAATTGACCCGATACGTACCGATACACTCCAAATTCTTTCTTGAAAATCTTGATAATAACTGTCAATAATTAACTCACTCCAACGATGTAAACTTGAATTTATAGTTGAAGACGTTCTACTATCTGAAGTGCTGTTGTAGCGTCCTTTTAATTTATTATTTTTCATGTTTCGCACTCGGAATTGAAAGTTAGTACCATAGAATAAAGATAAGAGGGTTAATACCACTTGTATAATTCACGGTTAAAAATATATCCCGTTTCGATAAGACTTTCAAAATAGGATTGTAGCAATGTGAAAAATGTATTATGACAGACGTGTTGTTGTCGTCGAACATTTTCGTTGATCAATTTATCTGGGTGAACTTAAAAATAATGAAAGATAAAGAAGCGAGAGAGACGTAGTCTTTTAAGGAGGACAAATGCGGGAATGCGGCTGGTAAGAGTTTTCACGTCCGGCTTAAACACCGGTTAATATTATATTAGTTTTTAATAATTATTGTTTATAGCCATATGATAATGGTATTTTTCTTGTAGAGTATGGTTAAAAATAATAAATTAGTCAATTTGCATCTGTATTAAAATTATTTTAAATTCTCATCACCCAAGGTTCAGTACCTACTTGATGAATGATCCTAGGGCCCCCATACGTCAACACAGGATAGGGCCAACCGGGAAAATCCCGAATTCCCAGTTGGCCTATCCGCAACTGCCTAGGGCGGTCCATTAGAAAGTGGCAACATTTTCAAAACAGTGATAGTATTATTATTTTAGGGTTTTTTAAATTTTTATTTTGCCCACTGCACTATTTTCGCTTGAGCCGGCTCTAAACATAATAATAATTATTAGACTACAGGTATATTATGATATTATATATTTGATTTATAGAGATACAATCATCAATAATAAGTAACATACAATTAAAATATAAAAAGAATAATTATAACAGTAAGTTTGACACTTAATTCAACTCTTCGATAAACACCATTTTAAAAATCAACAACATAGAATTTACAAATTAAATAATACTATATCTTATAGTTTAAAATTAAAGGTGTAGTAGGTATTATATAACTCAATTATAAAATATTAATAGTTTCAATGGTCATTCTTCAGATGTATGTACAGTATACACTTTAGAACAATTAAAAATTATAATAATACCTATATAGTTAATAGTATATAAATCATGTTAGAATGAAACAGACATAAGATGAGAAGTATTCCATAACATTTAGTTTTAATAATCTTTTAAATTTGCTTAAGACAATCCCAACAAGAACACTTATTATAATGATTATTAACAATAAATTATGGCAGTATCCAGTAAATGTTGATTCGTAATAATTCACACAATATTATTTTTCATAGTTAGTTAATTGTATTAGTTTAATCTTAACATTGTTATAACTTATAGTTTACAATAAACTTAGTAGTAATATTAATAGTCCACATAATAATACATGGGTCAGAAGCAATAAAAATACTTGTGTACCTAGATATATTGGCTACTATTTATTAAATGGCATTGCGTATGTTTTATTTATTAGGCATTTTTAGGTATAATCAAATCCATAGTAGTAAAACAAGGTTGATGTATAGTATTTTAAACACATTCCTATAGAGTACTTATAGATTAATGGATTATATTTAAATACAATATTATAATTTTATTTTATATTTCTTTCAGTGATAACATATTGATATATAGTTATTTACATTTAAATCGTATTAAATGTTATAAACTCACAGTTTTTATGGTACAACAGTGACCAAGAATATGATTTTAAAGCACGAAAATAGATGATTCCGTAAACAAAACAAAAAAAAAATGTAATAAATCACAGATCATTTTTAAAAATTAAAAATTTTTTTTTACATTGCATCATTTTGGCAGTGAATTACAATTAACTATCATATTAAGTATCTATTATTAATTAATAATATATTTTAACTAATATGTTTTTGATTGTTCTTATTAAAAACCCTGACTAATCAAGCTGCAAAATTAATGTATGAACACACGCGGGTGCTGGTGTATTAAAAATGGAATGTTATTGCTAATTTATTTAGAATATATAATTTATTGCTTCTTAAAAACATGAATAAATCAATTTAAATATTGCAGAATAACAGCTATTTACTAAAAATAAAACTTTTTGTGTAGGAAGTAGGTAATAAAAAGTTGTAGATAGTAAGTCTTTGTGAGCCAATCACAAGTCGATTAAATATGTAAAAATAACTAAGGATAGGAACGATTGTTGTTTGATTATTATTAATCTAAACTAGATAGAGGAGTGTAGGAGAAACCAGCAAACACATTATCTATGTCCTGTTTACTAGTAGAAAGTTTTTCATCACAAAACGACGACATGGACGAACTGACAGATTCCTTCGTAAACTGTGGATCAATATATTGCAAATCACATGTTCCATTCTGTGAAAAAAATAATCATTAATAAATAATGAACTAACTTTTACACTTATGAAGTTATGATTACGTTTTTTTTATATTTAAACTAAATTTACCAATTGTGGTTGAAAAGGTGGTGTAATTCGTTTATTCAATAAATCATCCCAATTGATTGTTTTGAAAAATGGATGTTTTTTAACCTCATTAAAATCTTGAACATTGCTACCAATTCTTTTATTGGTTTCTTTTTCCAATAACTAGAAATAGATATTAGTAATTAAAAAATAATTTCAATAATTATTTTTTTAAATTTAGTATTAAGTATGTTCTACAAACCTTGTGCAATAAATTTTTACATTGTGACGAAACAGGTCCTTTTATTTTTAATCTACTATGCAAAACTAAATTATACATTTCTTGCACATTTAAGCTATAAAATGGTGGGAGTCCAAATAACATTTCATAAAGTACTGCACCAAGACACCACCAGTCAACTGATCTGCCATATGCCTAAAAATAATAGTAAATATATTAAGTTAATATAACAACTTTAATCATTTAAGCCAGCAGGTATTACTTCTTTTCTAATTATTTCAGGAGCAAGGTATTCAGGAGTTCCACAAAATGTATTTGTAGTTTCAGTTCCGATGAGCCCTTCCTTACAAAACCCAAAATCAGTAAGGACCAAATGTCCTTCTTGGTCAAGTAACAAGTTTTCTGGTTTGAGATCTCTATAAATAATACCATTAGAGTGGAGATAACCAAGGGCAGATGCTATTTCAGCTGTATAGAACTTAGCTCGAGATTCTGAGAATCTGACTTCTTTTTGTAAATGATAAAACAACTAAAAAGGAAAAAGGAAAAATAAAAATAAAATAAAAATAGACTGATACCATATGCAAAAACTTAATTACCTCTCCGCCATTTACAAAATCAAGTACAAAGTAAAGTTTATCTTTGGTTTGGAAGCTGTAGTGAAGGCCAACTAAAAAAGGGTGGTTAACATTTTTCAGTAGGACATTGCGTTCACACATGATATGCTTAACTTCATTTCTTGCAAGTATGTGCTTTTTATCTAATACTTTTATAGCAAAATGAATGGATTCAGTTTTGTGTTCAGCCAAGTAAACTTTACCAAAGCTGCCTTTCCCAATAATACGTAGAAATACAAAATCTGATGGATTAGCACTAGAATTTAAAATAAAACAAATTAATTAAATCCATTACATAAATAATGTATAAATACATTTTGTTATATATTAATTTTTTTTAGAAATATTCAAAGCCTTTTAGGCCTTTCATACAATTTACAACAAAAATGTTTTCAAGTATAAACCAACAATTTGTTGATGTATAATAAACAAGGACAATTGTATAGTATTGAAATATTATTTTAAAATCATTTATTTGAATTTGGGTTGAATCTTGTTAGAATTTTATTGATAGATAGATCAAAATACAATCAAAACATTAAATTAACTAAATTATATACTATTATTTTGAGCATTAAATAATAATAATTTATATAATATCTAATTTAGTAGATATCACATGCTGATAGATATGTAATTAATATACAATTTTACCGATATGCAAAAGAACAAAATGATATAATACTGACTTAGTTGAACAATCATAACAAAATTGATAAAACACTTTATTTTAGTATTATGTAATAGATTTGTTTGTCATTTTAACATTTATTTTCAATAAAGATTTAATCCTTATGACTGATGAGTATATTATAATAATTATATTACTTACGATGGTCTTTCTGAAGGTCCTAAATTTATGGTACCAGGGCACTTTAAAAGGTTTGGTCTGTCTGGTTCTTTAACTTTAGTATCCAAGTTAAAAAATATGCGGACTTCGCTTCTTTAAAATTCAAAAATATTAATTATTATTAACAAAAAAAAACATTATAGTAAAGTAGGTGGTTTTTTAATAAGATAAATCAACCATACTGTTCAGAGGACATCAGTGTACCGTTTATTCTCTCTCTCTAGCCCATCCATACCATAGACAAAACAAATTTAAGCAAAATCATATTTTTTTATGTTTTTGAGTTATCTAAGAATAAAATCAGCCATTACAAAAGTCATAGAGAATAATATTTTTGAGGGTTAGCGTATATAGATTTGTCTAAATATTACTGTCTCAAAATCAAATAATAATAAAATATAAATTAGATAAGTCAAACCCTCAAAAATATAATCCTCTTTAATTTTTGTAGTAGAAAATTTTACCTAATGACAACAAAAGTGTTAAAAAAGATTTTACATGAATGCATTTTATTGAATATTGCACACGGGTCTAGGAGAAAACCAATATGGCGCTGACATCCTCTTGAAAAGATCAATCATTATTGATTTGTTTTACAGAAAAATAAACAAAACAATAGTAAGTTATGCATTATACTTAAACTCTAAGTCATAGAGCATAATTACTGTAAATTATTGACCAATAGATTGGGCATACATGGCATAAGCTGTATACAGTCGAAAGTTTATACTTTATTGGTGTTGTATGCTGTCTATATAACTATGATTGATTACAATATCTACTTATTCTCCCATATTATAAACTAATTCTATTTATTTTAAATAATAGTATTTACAATCAATGCTAATTCTTTACTTTTATGTAGTATTTTTTTTTATCTATTAGTATGTGTATGGTAATATTTGTTTGTATGATTTTTCATATGAAACTTGTCTGAAGTTTTTAACAAACAATGAATTATTACCAAATTGAAATGTTAGTTGTACAAAATGAAACACCGCTGGTGAGGTGGATGATGAAAGTGACTTTATAAAAAAGTTGGGATTTAAATGGCCAAGTCTTAAAAACAAAATATTAACGATACCAAACATAGAATTAATAGTATATTAGTATACCTAATAGCAGCTGATAAGAGTATATTTTGTGGTAAAAATTGAACTTTTTGGTGCTGAGTTAATGAATTTAAAGTAGTTCAAAGAGAAAAAATAACTGGTCAGGGACATCACACAATTTTCTTTTGTAAAAAGCATACAACACATTTGCCATACATTGATTTGTAAATATATACAACTAAAAAAAAAATATTAGTGTTTAAATAATATAAAAATACTCAAATAAAACTGCTACAATTAACTTATAATAATATACATCTACATATAAATCATTTTCTTATAATAATTTTAAAATTACACATACGAATAGAACATAAAGACAGCAATTGAATATAAGGTGGTACTTATTAATATGTTGCATTTAGTGTAATTAACAGATAATTCAGAAAAATTAATTATTTAAATTGATAATAACTATTAACTGGTGTATCTTGATAAAATTATAATAGGGTACAATTTTTACCATTTAAAAATAATTTATTTCAAATGATTATTTTTCCACGATAAATGATTCATTTTATAACTCATTCTTATATAAAATTATGTACAGTTATATTTTAAGCATACTTCTAAAATATCTAAGATCTTTAATATATTTTGAGTTTTTCATTACACATGATTAGTATTTATTGTAAGTCATTAGTTAAAATGTAATTTTTACTGTTAATGAGTGTGGCTGCACCATTACACATAAGTAAGCACTACTAATGTTTAGTATCAACATGCACAATTTATTATGAAAGTGTGTTTAATAATTTCAAATTGTAATAATTGTTGCGAGCACAAGAAAAAATGTTCAGTTCATTTATTCAATCATTCAACTATTCATAAATTCTTTATTGACTCCTTATTAGGTTTTAGATATTTTGAATATGAACATAATTTCATAATATAATACAAAGTAGTAATAATTAGTTAAGCTTACATGTTTAGTAAATTGTTTTGATGCATTAAATGATGTACAAATTGATCAAGACCTTCCCGGCGAGAGGCAATGAGTGAGGGATCCATGTTGTTACAAAACAATTTCTTACCTGGTATTTTTAAGTTTGAGTCTGGCACCTACAAAATAAAAACTTTAAGTTAATAAATCAACTAAAATTAAAAATTAAAACTTGAACTTTACCTGTTTCTTTAGTACTTCATTAAGTTTATAGAATTCATTATATCGCCTAAATACATGCCAAGTTTCATTCCGTGACCAAATTACAACTTTATACACCTAAAAACATATGGAATTAAATTTTACAGAACTAAATACCTTACACTAAAGTAATTGTTTGTCATATTTTTTAAAAACAATTTAATATACAGTGAATTTTTTATCTTCCTGCCAAATCTCTGCTTGTGATACCATAGCTGCAGTTTTATCATCATCACCGTTCAAAGACAACTTTGAACAGTTTTCACACGTATCTAGTTCTACTCGATTACTGGACTTATTATCCATGACGTCAATGCATGACCTGGAATGACCGCCAATGGTAGAATATCCACTCCTGCCGCCTGTATGACACCCAAAATAACAAAACCAATTTAGACACATTAAAAATTTAGTCATTTCAACTAGTTTTCAAAATGACCCAGTGACCTAATAATGGACATTGGATCTAATTTCGTCACAAGAATAAATAATAATAATCGTACACAATAGTCTCTTCAGGGAAATTTATTACCTCACCACGACAAATCCACTGGCATTCCACTTCCCACTACTGTCACATAGTTGTTGATTGTTTTCTAGCTAATAAAATAAATAAATCTATGGAGTGTGGACAGTGAACTTTCCATTTTTAGAACGGCACAGCTTATCACAAATGAGACGGCGGCATAGAGCGCATGCGCCCGCCAGCTTGTAAACTGCACGGCAGGGACACAATCAAAGGATTTTGTCTGATAATTTTTTTTTAGTTGTTATTATGTTATCATTATTTTGTTTGTTATTTTATTCAGTGTTTATATTCCCACTTTGTTTACAATTGTGTCATTGTACGTGGTAGTCACGCACAAATTGTAGATAAGAAAATAAATGAAATTAAATTGTTTTTTTCACCGTGTACATTGTATTTCAGACTTCAATAATTATAATTGTTGTTGTTGTCGTACTTGTTTAATTGTTTAGTGTTTAGCTGCCAGCAATTTCTCTATTGACGTTTATTTATTTCATACGTGTGAATTTTTAAATAAATAAAACTATTACAAAACTAAACATAGCGTTTCAGAATGGCTCAACCTCCAAGTGGAATGCCACCTCAAGCATACTTGTTGGAAATGTTTCAGAAGTAAAATACATTAAATAATCATTAAATCTAATGAAGTTTTATATTTAAATGTTTCCTCATTTTTAAAGATTAGATAAAGACCAAAGTGGTTCCATTACAGCTAATGAATTACAAAGTGCTCTATCAAATGGCACGTGGACGCCTTTCAACCCGGAGACGGTTCGTTTAATGTTGAGTAAGTCAATAGATGTCTTAAATTTAAAAAACAAATACGGTTATTATGATGATTCATGGAATAATAATTGTAATTAAACTAGAATATAGTAGAACTATTATAAGGAAAACTAGTTATTGAATCGGTTCGTGGAACTAATGAATCATTGAATATCATTTATCATTACTGATTATGTTGTATGTCTCATCATACTGTCTTAAGTCAGGCGTTATTCTAAATAATAGTAACACCCAATTTAGACAATAATAGGAAAAACTGCAGTTAACTTAATTACATATGGGTAATAAGTTATAAGATGGCAAAAATCACTCTTGGCTAAACGCTTAACTAACCTTTTGTAAGAGGATTTGTCAAATATAAAGAGAACCAGTCATGATTTATGAATAGTGAGCATTGGCGGACTAAACTTAAATTTTCCATGATGCATTTTCATATTTAAGAACTTAAGTACCACACCCAAGAGTCAAGAGTTCGGGCCGGTTTTTCAATTTACTTTAACTGATAGTTAAATCAACCCTAAAAAGGTTTCAGCTAAGCATTATTAAAAACAATTGTCTCTTCACTGTTTCATTAACATGAGCCTTGCAGACCAATAAAACAAGATTTTTTTAAAGCGTGGTTTATTTTTTTTTACATACATTATAATTCTACGACCAATCTCACACAATTCTGTAGGTGCATTGAATCATAGAAATAGACAATACCGATGACTAAATCAAGTTGTACTGCATATATAGTGTGTTTTAAATCTTTGTTAATATTTATTTAATTATTTATAGACATGTTTGACAAGTCAAATAAAGGCACTATATCATTTGAAGATTTTGGCGCATTATGGAAGTATATTGTAGATTGGCAAAATTGCTTTCGTTCTTTTGATAAAGATAATTCAGGAAACATAGACAAAAATGAACTTCGAGCTGCATTACAAACATTTGGATACAATTTAAATGATGCTACCGTTACTACAATGTTGCAAAAATTTGATAGAATTGGAAAGGGGACTGTACTATTTGATGATTTCATACAATGTTGCATCATGCTTAATGTAAGTATTGCTTATTAAAATTAAATTGTCGATTCTATTATTTTAAAAGTTACCATTTATAAAAAGAATAATTCCCACTAACAAATATAACTTAATATAAAATCCAAACTATGTATCTCTAGTAACTTGATTAATTGACATTAAATAATTTTCACGTCACATCTTGAAAGTTTTATTACCAAATTTGACTAATACCTAGTATTTAACACTGAATGTTGATGTACATACTCAGCCTACTTTAAGCGTACATTATATTGAAGTATATTTCACAATTTATCATAAACTATTTAATCATTATTATTAGGTAAAAGATTAGTTGGTAACAATTTTAGCTTTATTAATAACTAAAAGTTTACCAAATAAATATTCATTAATATGTTTATTTATTTTTAATTTTTCAGAATCTAACTACAGCATTCCGCCAATTTGATACTGATCAAGATGGAGTAGTCACATTGCATTATGAACAATTCGTTGGGCTTGTGTTTAGTATTAAATAAGTCATTTAATATTTTTTACAATTTATATTTTATTTTCTATGCTGTGTATATTTTTTTTTTTTTGGAAATATATTTGCCCCAAACTCAATTATACGAAAGAGGAATTTTTATTTTTATAAGATAAATAAAATATAATTGATCTTAAACTGCTCTTACTGTTAAAAATTAAAATTAATTAGTAAACAATTCCATACATGTTGTGATATTATAAACAAACTTATCTTAACAATAAAAAAAAAAATTTTAATAAATACAGGCATATAATATTTATTATGTTAAGCTCTAAACTCAATTTAACTATTAAGAAAAAATTAAACAAAATAATTAGTTTTTACATAACCGATGTTGTAATTCCACTCAATCTTTTAATATTAGCAATCAATCTTGTGGAAGCTGCCTTGTAATCAACTGGTTTTATATTGACTAAAGATACTTTTAACCTAGTCTCATTGTTGTAAGTTTCCATTTTTGCCCTAGCTCTAATTTCAAACAATTTAAACATTTGTTTTTGGAAAACATCACTATATTCTTCCTTAGACTCTTCCATCAACCTTCCCAATTCAGCACTAGTAGTTCCCAAAAGGTTTTCAGCTGTCTCCTGAAACATGGTTACCCACTGGTTTCCAGTTGAGTCGCTCAATTGTGCTGAGAGCATCAATCTATACTTGAAATTCTCTGTTTCGTCATTACACTTTTCGCAACGATATGTTCCATCATTTCGATCAACAACTTTTTTTTGACAATCTGGTTTTGGACACGCTTTATACAGAGCAGATTCAGATTTCACAAAAATCAAATGTGAATACATACTATAATAATCAGCTTTATCCCCTCCACCGAGTTGAGCAAGTTGTGCTCCTTTAATTGTAAGAAACTGAGTATTCGCTCCAACATCAGAACGGGCTGAAATACTATTGAATTCTGCGTTTGAAGGAAGTGAATCGTACCAACCCCTTAAGCGATGTGCTTCTTCTATGTCCGGATTTATTTGCATTACAGTCGATCCTAAAAGGGACAATGATTTGCTACCCATGAATTCTCTGATTCTGCTTCCTTTTATAGCAATTACAGGTTGCAATGATCCATCAAAATCTTCTGCTTGAGTATCCCACAATGTAATAGTCACGGAATTCAGAGACTGGTCGACTATAGTCACATCTCTTTTTTTTAATTCCTTTCTTGTAGTCTTTGACATTAACGTAGTTAATTCTCCCGCAGCTTGACAAACTCCTATGACATCTACTATACCATCAACATCAACGTCTTTCACTTGGCTCAATTGAACAAAATTAAATTTCAGAGCAGGCATTTGAGAGTCATCAAATTCGTGACATGGAAATATTTGAGTTTCATTAGAAAGTGTAAGTTCGTAATCATTGTTAAGATTTGAAAACTTTTTATTTGCAGTTTTAATCGAGCCACGAGTTATAAAATATACTTTATTTACTTCAATCATATCAAAGAATTTGTCACATTCACTGTTAAAGGCAGTTGCTCGAATCTCACCACTCTCATCAAGCAGATCCATGCTAAAAAGTTTACCTTCACCTCTTTGATTATTCCAAGTACGGACTGGAGCTTTGTTTACAACTCTAGCTCTGATTGTCCATTTATTTTGATATGGGCTTAGAGAATTAATGGGATGAATATTGCTAACATCAATATCTCTTTGAAGATCATTATCTACGACGCTTGATTGGACAGAATGTGGTTTTGCCGAAGTATTAGACTGAGGTGTAGAATCAACTGAAGCTCCATTTTCAACTTTTTGACCAGAATTATCAATAATTGGTTTAGGATCACCAATTTTTGAACCCACCACATCACCAGGTACCATGACAGCCAAATCTATAAGGATCATGACTTGTTTACTTCCTTTTGAACGGTCAGTTAAACTACTGATTATATGACGTTTTATCTTTAGAATGGCAAATTCATTAATTTCTCCAGAAGAAACCATGCCATTCAACTGAGTAGCCAACATGGCAAAAGAATTTAGATTATGACCGTCAGAAATAAGTAAGCGATATCTTTCATTTGCTCCTGCAGCAGTAATTTTTCTTACACCAAGCACTTGCAAAATTGGATCTTTAACATCTTCATTGTTCATGATGGACTTTAATGCGCCCTTTGTTAACATTTTTTCATACTCCATTTTTTTTTATGAATGATTTCCTGAATGAACATAAAATATAAATAATTATAAATAATTTTAAAAAACAATTAAATAAATTAAACATTTTAAACAGATATTTGAACATATTCCACTGTGTATTTATCTTCGCAGTGGATATTTTTAACAAATCATTAAATTAATTGTAACAATATTGTATTAATATCATCGTAACGATCATATCATTATGCTATTCTTGTTGATTATCTTCAATATTTAAAAGTACAATATTATTGTTGTACTTACTCGTTAATTTAATTAGCTTATTTCCGTATTATTAAAAAAATTAAATAGGTAAATATTTATCCTTTCAATGAAACAAATGTAATCACATCTTATAATGGTGACTTGTTTGTGTTAAAAAAAACTATGCAGTAGTTAAATGTTATTAGATGTTATTGATAAGCATAACTTATTTCGACAAAACTACCTAGATTCAATTTTTATCTACAAGTGTCTTTAGTCGCAAAAAAAAACATTGACAAATCGAAACATTTATTGCTCTGCTCAGAATCTAAAATAAGGGAAGCCAAGTACCTACTAAATATTGAGTCAATAACTTGCTTCAAAAATAGTTAATATTGATGACAGAATATTATAAAAATATATGGCTTAATTATGGTTGAAAAATAAAATAAATTCAAGTAAATGACCATTAATTATGAATAAGCCTCAAATGCAGTGAATTAAAGGCTACTAAATTCTTTACAATTTTATTACTTCAAGTGATAAATACAACCAAAATAAATGTTCAATTATCCTGAAGTATAATAGTAGGTTGACAATATGTTTTAAAAAAATTTAACGAAAGGCACATCAACACGAAGCACTACTTAGCTACAGTTTAATAAAAATAATTTAGTCATATTCAGAATCTAATAAAATCTTTTACCATACATTATTGAAGGGTAAGAATTTGTATATCGTATGTACTTAGAACAGCAACTTTATTTAATCATTTAGTACCTACCTACACATTTAAATAGTTTAAAGTTAGCAAAAATATGTATTTTGTCCGAATAGGTACTGTGAGTGTTGCTTACTCACATCGGAATTAAACAAAGCGCCTAACGGAACGATTTTAGTTTTATAATCAAAAACATAAGCCCCAATATATGTGTGTTTAAATATTTGATAATTCACGAAAAGTTGCAGTTTTATCATCATTAAACGACAAGGTTTAGGAGTAAAACTGGTAGTCGAACACGATCGTCACCGGCGGTGTAAGGAGCGATTGGATTGAACATACATGTACGAAATAAATTGGTACGATTAATAATTGAGTGTAAAACGTCTTACCTTCTGGTTGAATTATATTTATTCTCCGCCGGAATATAGTATTACACTTGACAGTAGACTACCTAGATTTCTACGGCAAATCCGATAAGTAGTGCGATACAGAAGACTAATTTAAGCTTCCGTAGTTCCGTTTTTCCGGTGTACTTTTCAAATCTGTAATCTGCGTTCACCAGTTCACATCACACATTATTAACAAATTTACAAGTAGAGTAGTAGTGGTGGGCCGGTGGCTACAAAGAATACACAAGTAAGGGCGGGAAATGAGCTGATAGGAGAATTAATCTGAACGCCAAAGAGGTTGTACAGTTTATCATTTATAATTATTTTCCCGCCTTATGCAACTGATGTACCAGCACAGAATAAATGAAATTACTTATAAATTTCATTTATTCTGTGGTACCAGAGGTAACGCTATGTTTCGTCGCTGTACCGACTACCGGTCAGGACTTGGGTGAATAAGTTAACTTTTCGTATGGATATCATTATTATAGACTAGTTTAATACGGGGCCCTACGTAATACGGACGAAAAGTCCGTGGATATAATTACGTAAAGTCCACTCTGAAAAGAGTCGGACAAAAAATCCTGATACATATTTTTGTTGTCAGACAAAAAGTCCGAAAATAAAAAATATTCTATTCAATTTTCATCTATAATTATATTATATAACATATTATTATACATACAATAACATTTTCCATTATTATTATGCTGTATACTGTATAGCGGGTGATCGGTATTTGTATTGACTTATTTTAAATTATTATTAATATTTCTGTAGTGATGGATGTTCCTATTTTTTTTTTAAGTTCACAAATAACATAATAATGTAGTACACGTCTTACGGTTTTAAATAAATGTATTATGTATTGAAATTAATTGCTGCAAGTACTGAGTCAATGATGAAATCCAACAAAATATTATAAATTTAGAATAGGTATTAAAATGAATTACATTTTTTAAATTAATATTAATTATCTATATACATAATATAATATAAAATATAAAATATACCTGTGCCCACTGCCCAATGCCCATAGACTCTAGTTTATAAGTCTATGTGGTTGCATATTGTTCTAATGTAAAAATATATTTCAATTAATTTAATTTGTCATCTAAATTAAATAGTCATCTACTATGTTTACATAAAATAAAATAAAAATTTATGAAAAGAAATATATTATTATTATTTTTTTTTTAATAAAATGTTCTATACTAAAATTCAAAATAGCCCATCATTATTCAAAATACGGGTTGGTTATAATTGAAAAAAAACCAAACTAATTAATTCAATAAATTAAATGAAAAATCTGACTGGGTTAAAAATAAATAATTTACGTATGGTTTTTTTTTCTTTTTTTTCTTATTAATTACGAATTATGACCTTATGAGGAGATTAGTATTGGATAAATCTTTAGACATTTTTTAATGTTTTCCTAAATCATTAATAATCTACTTTTATTTACTTCATAGTTCCTATTTGACATTTTTTTGATGTTTATACCTACTGTTTAAAAAATACTTAACACGAGGTTGTTTTTTTTGGAACTAAAAAACCACAGTAGGAAAATTCAAAATTTACATTCAATACATTTGGAAGTTCAATGTGTGTTTTACCATACTGTCTTTACAAATTTAAACTTCTGTTAGTTTGGGAGCATGGCTCAATATATCTTATGTTTTTGTTATGAATCTATTAAAATATAATTGTGACCTGTCTTCAAGGATTTCACCAATGCCCATAAGTAGATAGTAGATATTATTACAGATTATTATGTTATAAAGTTTTATAAAAGTTAATATTTAACTAAGTTTAAAAGTTACTATACCAAAATTACTTTTTAGTACCAACCTATAGGCTATATAATTTATGAGTAATAATTAATAATAGTTTTTTATTAAAAAAATTCATTCAAATTACTTGTCAGTTGTCATATTGATGAGTATTTGCTCATTGTACTGTTTAGTAATTTAAGCTTGAGCATTTGTCATATTTCATTAAATATTTGTACACACAAATGTTTGAATTCAAAAAGTGAACAAGGTTGAGATCTTCTTTTTATTAAAATTAGAATGCACAACCAATGTGAAAACTATTTGGGACTGTAGAGAAAATACTATAGGTGTCTCGTGTCTAGTTCGAAATATTCTGATTGTGTACATTTGCAAATTGAAACCGAAGAGATTATTAAAGAAACCGAACATAATATCATCAACCAGATTGTGTAAAACTTAAAGAAAAAGAAGCATTTGACAAAATGAAAATAGGGTTGAAAAAGAAACAGCAAGCTTATAAATTAACAGCCTTTACTTTACAATCTGTTTTGGGTAAAAAGAGGTATACAATTTAAAATCAATAATTTATAATTACTGTGATTGGGTTTGTAATAGGTAGGTAGAGAACTGAAACTATTGTGATTTTTGAGTAAATTACCCGCAGTTTCTTCTTTAAAAAAAAGCCTTGGATTGAATATGTCCTACAAGCTGCAGAATATTCTCAAACATGGGATGAGTTATTGATTCCTCAATGTCTATTGTCTGGCAAGAAACTATAATTTATGTTTTTGATATAATATGATAACTAGAACAAAAATCAAGAAACAAAATAACCCACAGCTCACATATTTACATTTTTTCAACCAACAAAAAGTTAGACATGATGTAGAATGTAGATAGGTAATAAGTAGTGATTTTTAATAATTTTGACCAATAGAAACTTTATCTTATTATTTATAAAATTCAAATTTGTTCATCTAAGATCCAATTTTTTACAAAAACCTCTTAGTTTAAATTATTTTTAAAATACTTCTTTGGATTGTATAAATGTTACATTAATATTATTAAGTAATTAACTGATGTAGTGCTAGCGTGCTAAACATACTGTACATTTATTGTAATTATTGTTAATTCATTTATGCCCACCTGTATATATCACTTCAAATAAAAAAATAAGTGTAAAATGCGTAATATAAGTTATAACTAATATAACTCTCAATGGTAAATAAACAAAAAATGAAAATTTGTGATAGCGGTACCTAATAGAACAAAAAACAAAATATATTTTTAATTAAGATTTTTTCCCATACAGAATTTAAGTAGTAATATCTACATGATCATATTATATTTAAAAATGAAAAAAAAAATATTAAACCATAAAATACATTAAAACATATGTAACATATCTAAATTGTGTAGTAAGTTATCCATTTCGTGATCAATTGAATCAGAACCATTAGTTATATCAAGATAACTATTTGCAACTTCTTGGCCTGAATTCCCCTTGGCTGGTTGAGGATTACCAATTACTTCACCCGGACAAACAAACAAACAAACCAAATCTGTAAGGACAATAAGTTGCCAATTTCTGTGGGAACTATCTGTTACATTAACAACTGCATAACTTTTTATGTATATGATAGAATATTCCTTTAAATGGCCACATGTAATCAAACTGTTTAAGCGTCGATCTAAGCTTACAAGGGAGTAGTGATGTTGACCGTCCGATATAATCAAACGATAAATAGAAAATCCTGTGATTGCATTTTTGAGTAGCAGAATACTGAGAACTTGCATGATAGGACATTTAACATTTGCATTACATAGGATAGATTGTAATGCACCCTTTGTCAACAGTCTTGAATGTAGGCCTCTTTCTATGAGTGATCTCCTGGTTAAACAAAAATTAAAAATAATTTCATAGTGTAATTAGTTAATATATGTTCACCATAGAATAAACTTGAAACACATTTCAAATAAAGAAGTAAGTATTAAAATTGTAATTCTATCAAAATAACTACAATTTAAATACTATAATTCTCAAGTATATAAATATAAGAAACTAATATTATGATATAAAATTGCTATTGTAATATTTGACAGAAACAGTTTAAAATATTTTATTTTTATTTAATCAAAAAATATTCTTCATAAAGATACTATATTGTAAATAATAAATATACATAAAATTGTAGTCTGGATAAATAGTATCCAGACCATTCATATAAATAAAAATAGCAATATTAATTGTAATAAAAGATTGTCAAAAATTGTTAGAATAAGAAATTTGGGTACCACTCTAATTCTTTCGTTCTATCCAATTCACTATAATCTTCGTTTACTTGAGCTGTTGAAGCGGAAGCTTCCATCCCAAATATTGGTTCAACGTCATTACTAAATCGTTGAGGATTACCAATAGTCTTATGAATAATAGAACCAGGTACAATAACAACCACATCTGATAAGATAATGGCTTGTATTGGTTGTGTAGATGGGTCAATCAAATTAGATGTCACATAATTATTAATCTTAATAAGGGAAAATTTGGTAAGTTTTCCAGAAGAAACCATACTGTTCAAGATAAATGTAATCCAAACAGAATTTCTATTTTCACCATCAGAGACAGTTAAAATATAACATTCATTTCTTGATGGCATTTTGTCAACACCTATAACTTGCATGACAGGACGTTCAACCCATTCATTGTTCTTAATGGACTTTAACGCCCCCTTTGTTAACATTTTTTCATACTCCATTTTTCTACGATTTTGTGCACAAATAATCTTTCGTGTGATTTTCTGTAAAAGAATAAATAATAATAATCATTTAGAAATCTTAGAAAAATCGTTTTTAAAAATTACATAATAAAATTACTAAATGTTGTTTTTTCTAATAATACACAATGATATGCACATGTGACATGTCCTAATTTATTTATTTTATTTTTTTATTTTATAGTTTAATTTATGAAAAAGTGTAAAATATTATTATACAACAATACATTCATTGCGATTTAAAGGTAATATTTGATTTTTCATTAGTAATAAAATAAAAAGATGATAAATTTAGGCATAATCTAATTGTAAGCAATATTGTAATAGATATTAGATAGTGTCTCAAAAGTTAAACTGAAATACAATGATCTTATAGTGTCACCTGCCCATTCGAATATCCACCATAACATTACAATCGTCGTTCGTCGATCATTATATGAAAGTAGAGCTTTGGACCCAAATAAACTCAATATTTTTAAACACCCTAAATTGTAACAAAAATCAATAGTCCAACCTGAAACCAAATTATTGTATAAATCTGATATTCCGAAAAAAAAACTACATTAAAATATTCAATAATCAAGTTCGATACCTCGAGAGTCGAGAAGTAAATTTTTTGGAGCTGTACACCAGATTTATTGGAAATAATTCTAATTACATTTTCACCACATACAAATTATTCAACGCAAACACTATTTGAGGTCATTGAAGGCTATGATCGATATTCAAATTTTGGAATTATTATCTGTATCGATTTTCAATCTTTTCTATATTCCTTAGGTAGTTTTGTTCCTACATTACCTACTTTATTATTATATAAAATAAATTGAGTTGATTTTTTTAATACAAATTACAATGTCTCTAGTCGATAATAATTGTCATGTATTCTAGCTAGAAATTAGTGCTAAGAAGCTCTAAAAATGATTACCAAAGGACTTATCTCGGTAAGTCCCATAAGACTTTTTTCCTACTGCCGTAGGGAGCAGTGGTGACGTGGTGTTGACAAAAATGTTCATTGAGGGGTGGATATATATTAATTATTCCTAATATAAATCGCAGGATACTGCTCCAGCGCTAATATTATATATAAAAAAGTGTATGGGGAGGATACATTCCACATCCACCTGTGAATACGTTCATGGTAGGGGAGAGGGGGGTTAACAGGACACGTAATTATTTAATAAAATATATAAATCACGGATTCAGAATCTATGGTAGGGATAAAATACTTTTTGTGGCCCTCCTTCTTCTATAATAAATATTTCGATTGGCGGACTAAATTACCATTATTACGTCACTAGCAATTTTCGAGCTTTTATCATAACGATATTTTTCTAAAACAAAAAATCATTACTCAAAGTTATAATAATACAAATTACAGTGACACGCTTATACAAAGCCTTTTTGATAATATAATTTACATTTTTAACTTTTATAATAAAAAAAGGTTTAAAAAAAATATTAACTGTATTATTCAACAGTGGGAGTCAGTTAACTAAATAAAAATGAATAAATCAAAATAATTAGGTACTAAATTAAAAAAATGATAGTATCAGTGCTTCTACACCTGTAGACATGTAACTTGTAGACCTGTCAGCTGTCTCCTATGACCAGTATACGATCTAACCATCATGAACAACAAATACACGTTTCATCTATCCTGTGATATACATATACTGCTAAGTGCTAACGGCTAACCAGTAACCACGACCACTATATGGGTTTTCTATAATATCTATAATCTGAAATCGTCGGTTAGATACTTGGACAGTTATAATATTAGTAAGTACTAAGCAGGCCTCCCATATCAAATTGTAGGCACCTGTACTATAGTACGGTCAGCGAAAAGTGAGCCGCGATACCAATGGTCCGGGTGGCCGAATTTCATCAGGGCTTCTACAATTATATGTGATTACGCTTAAATGCAACACTAGGAACGCAAGGGTCACGGCTCACTTTTCGCAGGCCGTACTATAAATGTTTTTACTGGCCTTGTACAAAACTTTCAATAATAAAAGACAAACGATTACACGTGTCTCCTACCTGATAATTTCTAGGTAATCAATGGACAATGGTTAATCCATAGCTTAGGAAAAATGACTTATATATTCATAGGTTAAGAAGTTATGTAATATGCATTTATACATTTTACCATAAATCCATAAAATATTACTTAATACAAAATAAATATTGCTACTAACATAAAAAACTACGAATTCATTTCAACGGACCTCTCAAATAGCCAGGCCCCTGCGACCTGTGTTCCAAGTTCAATCGTCCTACCCCAATTGTGGGAGTCCCGGTACTAAGTACTGTAACAAGTAACAACTATTGACAGTGCAGTCCTTAGGGATGAGAATGCTGATTCGTATAAGCAACGGAAAATTAAAAATATAGGTAGCACTATCCACAATGCCCGAAGAGCTATTATCGTCATGCATTTTGGAAACTGGTAGCAACATCAAAGTAAAGTAAACAACAACATAAAATAACAATACTTTGTGTAGGCGTGTGTGTGTGGTTCTACTTACAGTCGAGTCTCGATAACTCGAATCTCAAGGGGAATAAATAATTCTTCTAATGTATTTTTCGAGTTGAATGCTTCAAACACAACTTCAAAACACTTCAGCGGTCAAGAAAGAAATCCGACTTATCGAGACTCGACCTATTAGATACATGGTTGACGCCACGACGTTCACACGAATCACACCACCTTTCTAGTTTCTAAGTTGGAAAAATGTACGTAGGTACTTACTATTATTGTTCTGGGCTGTTACACTAATAATTAATTAAACAGTGCCACAGTAGAACTGGACTGGTATTTGGCAGGCACTCGACTACTCTGAATTCTGACACTCAATATCTGCTACTCCTCGTCAGTGTAAAACTGTGTGGTCCGTGATCAGGATGTTGTGGCTATATTCACTAAATTCTATAATATTGGTTAGGTAAAAAAATTTCACTATTAGTCATTGTAATCACATACGTATGTATATAAGTATATAACCTCATTGTATATAACCGACAGTGGAGGTTTTCAACGACCTATTTGGTATATTGTTGTATGTATATTATTGAAACGTGTTCACTACATGTAAGGTGTAATAGTCCCTTCAGGGTAGGTATGACATTTCGCAACATTGTGCCATCGGGTCAAGTGTATATATACCACCCGTGGATGGTGATAAATGTGAACTGGGCAACTGGTGGTGGACATATCCAATATGGCGGCTCGAACAGGTAGTCCTTGATTGCGTCCCAAATATAAATATCCCACCGAATGCGTATCTGCGTATAAAATATAAAATATAATGTATAGTAAAAATAAAAATGTCATGAATTAATGAGAATGCGCTGTATTTCATTTAAATTAGATACAACCATGATGTTTATTTAGTTTTAATAACTACTGAAAACACAATTTTCTACCAGCTTCGTACGGAAAAAGGTTACATTAGGCCACAATTGGTCGACACCCACTGGCGGGAATCGAAATTGTTCAATGGGGTTGTATTAACGATGCATATTGATTTAAAAATCAAATATGTAAAAAGTTAGTATTGTATGTAGAATATTAAACTAGTTTATACTTAATAATAAGTCTACCATTGTTGATGTTACTCAGTTATACAGCATACCTAATATCTATTTCAATAAAATATAAACTGTTCCTCTCTAACTCAGCTTATGCTTACTGAAACAGCCTGTATATAGATCAATACCTCACTTAAATTAACCAAAATATGTAACTGAATATTTTTTTAATGGCAATTAAAAATTTTGATTTATTCATTTTAATTCAGACAATTTTTTTAATTAGTAATTTCTTGACAACAATAACGCTATAAACGATAAGTCCATAACCGATGCCTCATAGTATAAGCAGCTAGGCAAGAGATATTAGGTACTTCCCTAGTTACTAAATCTAGTTAATAATGTTATTATCTCATCTTTATTCAACCGGGTTATACAGAGAAACAGTTAGATATTTCCATAGTTGTCCTGTCCTGACTCGTTCTATGATTAGGTATTAGATATTTACCAACGAATGAAATTTAAAAAAATAATGTTAACTTAAAATAAATTCACTTAACATGAAACGAATACTGCGTAAATATGTGACGAATAACAAACAAATTGCCAACATTTGTCAAATATGCGTTTTGCTCGGAAAACGGCAAATATTCAAAAATATGCAATTAAAATTTTTTTACTTCAATCCCTTATGACTTAAACGAAATTATATCTTACTTAGACTATTCTTCAGTCATTATTAAACTATATAACAAGTCCCGAATCCTAATTATAATATAGACTGGAAAACTGACAAAATATATGGACCTTCTTTCATCAGAATCCTTTTACGAATTCAATGGTTTTATATTATTTAATTCAACCCTCCTCCCCTTGTCAGAATTACAAGTCCCCCCAACGGTACATACATTTTTAAAGTTTAATTTTAAATATCGTATTAATATATTGGAAAAATATTTATTTTTTTTGGTTATAAACTATATTGTGTAATGATTGTGATTACCCTGTGTAAGACGTAATACATCATTTAGTTTTTACTACATAAATACTACTTGGAAGTTCACTAAGTTGTCAACAAACTAAAAACAAAAATATAGGTATAGTCTTAAAAGAAGTACGATTATTCATTATTAATAATTGGTGATAAGTCTGATAACGATTAACGAGTAACGACAACCGGACAATCGCTGTGTCTGCCGGCTGCATTTAGGGCCTTTTTGCTAAACATAGACTCAGATTTTATATTATCTACTCGATAAACGTCGTTATTATTTTTCATTGAAATCCGCGTTTAGCTTAAAATGTTTAAATAATTAATTTTGTTCATCACGGAAAAATTGTTATGGTACTCAATTGGAAAAGATAAACAATCATCAGGAACATTTAAAATCAGCGAAAGGGTATCGTGGAAAAATCTGTTTTCCCGAATTTACATAAAATGCTATATTTAGAGCTTTCAATTCCAACAAGTTCCGCATCTTGTAAAAGAACGCTCTCAGCAATGCGTCGAATAAACACCCACATAAGGTCAACCATGCTACCAAATAGATTTTCAAAATTATCTATCATAAGCATAACGATTGAAAGAAATTTGTCAAACATTCTGAACAAAGAAGTCATTTTAAATAAATTTGCGAATACTGAGCAGGAGGTTTAAGCTAAATTAGTTATCTATAAAATTCCTTTAACTTTCAGTTACATTTTAAGAATTATTTTGTATCTAAAGTAATATCAACTAATATGTATGAATAATATAATAATATAATATATAAATAATGTGTATCTATAATATGTTAATATTTTAATGTTTACCTCAATACTACTTTTTATTATTTGTTTTATACATGTTACATATAGTGTATAATACAGTGGCGTAGCCAGGATTTTTTCGGGGGGGGGGGGTGCTGATCAATTTTTTACACAGCGGTGGTTTAGTTTTTGATCGAATACCATAGACCAGTGCCCAGTGGTTCCCAACCCATGGGCACTTGTGGGCCTCGAGCAGCTTGGTACTGGGCCGTGAACCATATAAATATATAATTTTTAATATTACATATTATAATATTTCTGGTTGTAATATATTTATCAATATTATCTACACTCTGCAGTGTCAGATTGGTGTCAAATTATTAATTAATGTTAAATATAGGAATCAACTGAATGTTGAAAGTGATTTAATTGTAAAACCATTCAATTTTCATCCCGATATTGACTCTCTCAGAAGGACAAGTAATGTCAAAAATCACATTAAATTGTTTAGATTGTGGTTAAGTTTAATAAAGTGATTTTCATGATAAATAATTGATTTTTTAATTCTTTTTAGTTCTAACTGACGTTTGTATATACATATATATTATATATATATATATTTATGCATTCATATATATAGGTGAGCTATTTGTGGGCCTCAAAGTTCTTGTTTACAAAATTGGTGGTCTACACAGCAAGTTAAAATGATAGTTTTCTGTAATAGTCTAGATTTTTTATTTAAAAAAAATGTTACGGTTGATTAACCGTTAGTATATATATATAATATATATATATTATTAAAAAAGGTACAAATGGTTTGTAATTTTACTTATTTTACCCCTTTTAGCCATTTATTCGGTATAATATTAATAATTAATAATTCGTTTTCTACTATAATATTATTGATGCACTTGGTAAATAATAAGTAAGAAATATTTCTGGAACCTTCAATTTTTTTAATAAATACCGGAACCCATCCGTAACAGTTATTTTATTTTCGGAGAGCCGGTCCCGGAATCAGTACCAGTAAATTCAAAAGGTCCCTGACCTTACGTAACCTAACCTAACCTCAAATAGAATATTTAATTTAGGTACGTGTATAGTAAGTCTGCTTGTGTGAATGATGGGTATTTTATATAATATTAAGTTACCCATAGCCTATTATATGTTATATGTGGAGGTGGAAATGGATGAAAATTGAGTATGTACTGAACTTATCCCTGTAGACTATAAAGACACGCCATAGGATTATATGGAATTGTTTATAATCCAACCTAACTACGAAACCTATAATTTTATGACGGCGTGAAAAGTGGGTAAACGGAAAAGACCTAACTTAGGTTTGTACTATATTTTTAATAATATAGTAATATACTATTGTTTAATTTCCTATTTTAGGTTTTTATTTCTATTTCATGTTGGTTTTCAAAAGTTTTAACGATATTATATACAATTACACAAATATTTTAAATGACTAATGAAAAACAATGTGTACAGTGTACTTAATTATTGTTATTTGGTAATATGATATGAAAGTACAAAAATGAATAAAAACTAATTTAAGCACGATAATACATTATGTTGAAAACAGTCTTAATATAGTAGTACCATAGTTATTGATTAATAAATAATATCAATAATTCAGATATTTCCTAGAACAAGTGGAAATTAGGAATATTTAGAATATAGAGCATAATCATTGAATTGTTTAGGGTTTGTTGTTAAGGGAGTTTTTTACCATATTTTTATTTTTGGGCTTTTTTTCCTATTTTCTGAAAAGTGAATAGGTACGTGATTTATTGTTACAGCCTGTAGGTATATGTATATAAGTATAATATTTTGGCGGTATAGTGTAAGTAACGACTAGAGACCCCAATACCAGAGACCAGCTCTCGATCTTGACTTTTTCCCAAGTAATACGTGTCTATGTGTAGCCATATAGGGGTGTATAATATAATAAAGTAACTTTAGTAACTTAGCAACCTAATTATTGACTGAATTTTCATGTTTTTCAGTACGTCACTGAGACACTGACGGCAGTCTGACACGGCAAAATGCGAATAGGAACTTAATTTTTCCCCAATTACAACTTACATGTCTCAATGGACAATGTGTGATAACTGGCAATTAACAACTTAAAAAGTCAGTAGTCACGACGCATGTGGTACAATAACGAAATTTGAAAAAATTGAAAAAGGAAATTAGACCGCGGTGATAAAAACCGCAGTGTCGCCAACACGATGACGATAATGCGATTTTCTTCGTGAAAAATCGGACGTCGCATGAAAACTGTTGAAATCAAACGGATCTCTGGAAACCGAAGCCGTCGCCTGCAATATATTGAGCTGCTGCTGTTCCCGACAAACTCGGCGATGTCGACTGATCGAGTGAACGCACCCCCCCGCCGAATGCTTGGCCGGAACGCGAACCCCGAGACGACAGCCCCCCCATCGACAAGCGACGTATATAGCCGTCACGATTTCGCACGGCCGCTTCGCTGTAGCTATAACCACCGACGACAGGTACATACGCCGTACGCGCCGCGACGGCTACCTGCGGGCCGCGGCGGCGGCGGGCGCTTTCGACCGGCTCGGCGACGCCGCCGCCACGCTTTCCCCGTCCACGACAACAGATGTCCCTCTGCCGCGCCGGTCGGCCACGATTCACCGCCTACGTCGTCCAAGGCAGAAAATAACGCGCCCGCACCCGCAAACACGCGCCGACGCTCTCGCGCACCCGCACGCGCTCACACCGTAACGCACGTCAACACGTCGGGTCAACGTTTTTCGCGTTTTATTTATCTCTCCGACGTTTAACGTACATAATAATATATTTATAACATATAAAATAATATTATTACTATTATTATTATTATTATTATTATTATGTTTTTCTGACACGGTTTTTATCACCTCCGCAGACGAGACACGTCCGAGTCCAACGTCGTCATAGTCGCGCGCGCCCCCGACGGATTTGGATATTGCGTTATCGCGCGTCGTCCATTATTCAAGTTCAAGTTCGTAGTTTCGTACATGTTCTGGTGCACCGACTGACGTTCAGCGACGAACCGCGAGAATCAGACAATCAGTTGTTGTTGTCGCGCTCGTGGATCCCTTGACCGCCGCACACCGCCGTCCTTTTTTCAGCTTTTCGAATAAGGTAATTATTACAATAACAATAATGGCGCACGATATTACAATATCGGGTGATTAGCGACGCCGACCGTAATGATTGTGCCAACCGCCGGCGATTGATTGTTTTCCAGAGTAATAATGGCCGATCAGCAGCAATATTTTCTGAAATGGAACGACTACCAGAGCAACATGGTGTCGTCCTTCAAACACCTGAGGAACGAGAAGAGCTTCACGGACGTAACACTCGCTTGCGAAGGACAAACGTGTAAGGCACACAAAATGGTGTTATCAGCCTGCAGCCCTTACTTCAAAGCTTTGTTAGAGGTAAGTCACATTGTATCAGGCAAACGGTCGCCGGATTCATTCAGAGAAACCTTAGCGAGAGAACCCAGTTCAATTTGTGTTCTTGCGGTTTAATGTCCCTCATCGTCCTCTGTCCGCAATACTGAAATGGTTTGATAGATATGAACGTCAACATTGTGTTCAAAACAAGTTCCATGTCATGTTGATTTTGTACAGTTCCTTACAAATTATATTAACCAGTGTCATGAGAAACTGAACTCTTAAGAGTTCTAAGATAAGGTGTATGGTTTTTCTGTTTATTTCAGTTTTATTTTTATCTCAGATTACATTATCGTCAATACTTTTGTAAATAACTAATAGTTGTCAATTAAAAACTATAGGTAATCTTTTACACCTATGGAATCCCTTGTTGATACTTGTGAATATCTAGATTTTAAACTGTTAATTATTTCAATTAGGTGTAATGATTTTTGATCATGGTTAGTTGGTACTTTTTGATGCTAATCTAAGATCTATTAAATGAAACAAAAATATGTTATACAAATCAATTTAAATTGTGGTAAAAATGTTTCCTTAATAAAGCAGTACTTTTGAACAATAAAGCATTTGCATTTATGTTTAAATTGACTATATTTTTAAACAAGTCATATTATTATAACATTTAATTGGTACTGACATGGCATGGGCTTATAGTAGACATAACATAACAACAATTTTTAGTATATTTTTAGCACCTATTTTTACCTATGTAGTATATTAAATAATTTACACTTTAAAAATCTTATAGGAAAACCCATCAAAACATCCTATCATAATACTTAAAGATGTACCATTCAGTCATTTGCAGTCCATACTTGAATTTATGTATGCAGGAGAAGTTAACATAAGCCAGGAACAACTGCCAGCTTTTTTAAAGACTGCTGATCGTTTGAAGGTAAATAAAAATTTGTTCATACCTAAAATTTAATTTTATTATAAAAAGAGAAAGTGTTAGTAGTACATTTCAAAATAATTATGTCTAAATAGTTAATTAATTATCATAACAAGTAACCTCCTTAATACTTATATAATGTTGTCAGTAAATGTAATTAAGCTGGAAAAGTATTTAAATTATAACAATTAATAATATTTTAATTTTAAATTAAATTTAAATAAATATTTACATAAAAAATTGTTTAAAAACCAGAGAAGTCACTGCGCTGTATAGTAGGTTTTGAGTGTACCTATCTATCTTGTTATTGACTTCATATATGTGTTAAATTTAAATTCAAACCATTGGATTACTTATCCATTATCTCAATTACCAAGCCTCAGAATTCAGTTATCTTGACTATTTTCTGATATCAAGATTGCCAGCCATAAATTAAATTAAATTTTTTGCTTAGGAGAGTCTTCTTAATATATATATATTTTTTATTAAAGTATTATGACTGTTTTTGCATTCATTGTGTCGTGGAAGTAAACCTTATTTTTGAAAGAATTCAAAGTCATTTTCATTTGTTGAAAAACAACAAATATTCATTAAATTATATTTTTGACAGTTATTCATTTTTTAATTTAAAATATTGATATTGTCTAAAACAGTTAATAAAACTATTCACAATTATGTTTAAAAGGAATTATTCACTTTAATGTTGTAACCCCAATGATATTCTATTTTACTATCAGAAACTTCACTAATATTAAATCATTTTTACTGATCCAAAAGATGATGAGTGACGATGTACACACAAAAAAAAAAAAATAATGTAAAACCAATAAATTTTTTGAAAATATGAATATCTTTCAACTTGGTTTAAAATGTGAATATCAAAAAAATTTCATGAGACCCAGGATAATAAATAACTTTAAATTTGATACCTACATTAATTCACTCTAATATTATAAATGGATTATTCTGAATGTAGAATTTGATATTTTATGCTTTAGTATAACAGAGCAACATATTATAAAAACAGACAAAAAACTAAATTATGAAAAATGTGATGATTTGGCCATAATATTTGTTTTCTTTTATTTAAATTATTATTTGTAGATGAACATATCCTGCTTTTATCGATTTAGTTTGTAGTAATTCTTTCTTTTCTTGGCTTTTCCTAAAATTCAACTTATGCTCAACTGCTGTTCCTGTTTTTTTTGTCTTCGTTATAAGAAAAAATGTACCTAGTTTGTAGAATATTCTTAATAATTTTATATATTTTCTTATCATCAAATGTATAAATTGAATTAAAATTAAATAACAGCCATATACAATTTTAAAATAAAATAAATTGTGTTTGCCCTTCTGTATTGGAACCATTTCTGCTATAAATCATTAATATAATATACATTTTAATTTCAAAAGTCTAATAATATACTTCTATTTCAATTTGATATAATTTAAAAGTGAAAACAATTATTTATTTAAACATATTATTGAGAAATTTTGTTTATTAATTTGTTACATTTTTAACACCCTTTTTTTTTTAGGTCAAAGGTCTTGCAGAAGCTCCACAAACTATTAAAAAAGATTAGTATCTACTCAACATTGCTAAATATGTTTTTAATTAAATTAATTTTTATTAGCATATTAATGAAGAGCCCAAATTTGCATTATTTTTCCTTTCCTTTTTTAATGAATTATTATTTTATTTGTATTTACCTATATTATACATTTGTCTATACAATTTACAACAGTACAATTAAAAGCCAAAAACAAAAAAAAAAAAAAAACAAAATATTTTATTAACAATATTTATTTTATAGGAATAAACTCTTAAGTATAGACATTATGTGTTAATATGTAGTTGCAAAATGTAATTTTTGTTTTTACGTAAAAAAAAACAAACCAACAAGTTCTGTAAATATTATACTTGTCTTGTACATTTATCATGAATTACAATTATTATTATATTTTATTTTAATAGAGCATATTAGACCATGTTAAAAAAAATGTATAAACCTTAATTGGACATTTTATAATGAACACAATAAATTTAGGTAAAATATATGTGGTTGACATCTTTGTAATCTTGTTTTATTTGTTAAATAATTTGAAGTATCAAAAGTTAACCTTTTAAATTTCACCAATTTATTTTATTAAGGGCATTCTTAATTAAAATACAAAATTACTTACATAGAGTTTGCTAAATTTCTGTAAGTGATTATAGCGCTAGTAAAAAGTTTTAACAAGCTACCAGTCCATTTCATCTTTGAAAGCAATACGTTTTTAACATTATTTAAAAAATAATAGTTAATGAAACAAATGTTATTCGTTGTTATTGTTATTTATTACTGCCGATACTGGAAGTCTGGAAGCGTTTATTAAACCATCTTAAATATAAACTTTTATTATATCTTTAAGTATTAACTGTACAATTTTTAATGAATATATTAATATCCATTAATATTGTACATGACCATTTGTCTCCTTCAAAAAAGGTCTTTTCCAAAGACTTTTCCCAAGTTTTTAAATCATTTTTATTAATTAATTAAAAATAATATTATTAAGTTTGGAAATTAATTCAATAAAAAAAATGCATGCATTTTTAATTTACAAAACTCACTGGAATACAAATAATTTAAATTAGTTAATCAGAACTCATGAAATAAGGGTCTCACAAATGTACATTTAATTTTTAAGCCAAGTCACTCAAGTTGATTAAATATTTCCTTTTCTTTAGAATTATTGTTGTTGGCATATTAATTATTTCATTTTTTTTTTTTGGCATTTATAAAGTAATGAATTAATATTGAATTGATTTCTTGACTAAACATTATTTTCTTACCTTTATGACATACAATATATGACAGACATGTGGATGAACATCCCTGAATTTATTTTTATTGGGATGAAACCTAGATTCACTTTGAATTTTTTATTATTTTTATTGATAATTAACATCATACATTTTAAAGTTATGTGCACACATTACTTATCTTGAAAACAAATTGCAATATCGTAAACAGACTAACTTGGATAACATATACTTTGCGTAACTTCAACAACTTAATTTTTTAAGGTTTTTCAATATTTTTGAACAATGAATGAGTAATAAAAAACTATTAGGAATCAATAAATATTTTTTCTTTTGCACAAAGGTGCTAAATCTTTTCTAGAACATATGGACTAAAATTCTTTAATAATCAGCTAATATTCAGTTTTAATTAAATTTCAAGTGCTATTAATTTGTTCATATCTATAAATAATTTGTTTTTGGGCTAATCGGAATTTTGAAGCTGAGATTTGCTAAAAAAATTAATTATTTTGGAAGGTTCTTATAAGTAACTATGGAAGTATGTTCCAAACATTTAAAGTGGTCAAATAAGTTATTAAGTTTATGAAAATTACATTTTTTTTCACTTTATGCATGATCAAGCTATGAAATAAAAACAATTTTGTATTATTAAAATGCAGTCAACTTGGTGACAACAATACCATCTTGGGCAAGTGCGCAATAGGTGATAGGTGTATATATATATATATTATATATATAGACTATTTATTATTCATTTAGATTGGCTCCACTTGACCCATGGTAATGTTGTATTGTTTTTTTAAATATATACCTGAACAAATTCTATTTTATTTTATACTTTTAAACAATCAGAGAGAAGTTAGGTTAAATTAAAAACTTCAAGGTTCTGTACTATACAATAAATGTTTACTATATGTGCAATTTAAATACCAGTTTATTATTTGTGAAAAAAAAATAAACTATAAAAGTCACCATTAGAATAAAGCATCATGTAGAATAAAATAAAATTTTCAATTGTTAAAAGTTGTATACATAAATAAAGTAACAAGTTTATTAATTTTATTATGTTATGGTAAATTTAAAACTCAAATATGAACACCAACGAGGACGGATAGTTTTTTTCTCCAGAGTTCAGGTTATATTTAATTTTATGGAGTGGGTCAATTTTAAATGTTATTGCTTAAAATATACAATCACAATTAACATACAAATAAAATATTTCATCATAATACATAAAAGAAATTCATGGAATGTATAATAATCTCTTAAAAGTATTATTAAAACATGATAAATTTGTGCTTGATTTTAACAATAATAAATAATTTTAGGCAACACAACATCTTGCTTGAGGATTAGTAGTATTTTCGTTTGTCAAACGTTCAGACTCAGCTAATGCTCTAGCTAATGCTTCATCTTCACTCTGAAAAAATTTTTTTTTTACTTTTTGTACTATGTAAACATGTAATAATAAGTTATTTTTTTTTGGTCATTTAAGTGAGTCAAAATAAATAGTTGGGAATTGTTAAAATTGTTTAAGTATATTAGATGTTATACAAGCAATATGTATACACTACACATAAATTGTTTGGTATAACTAGAAGATTAAATCACACTTGGATGTAATCGGCCCACCATCGAGTACCGTTTGTTAAACTATACATTTTAACAATTTCCTTAAGTTCCTTAAATGTGTCACACATTTTTTTAAAGTTTAAACGATATGTATGTTGAATAAATTGAAAGCCATTATTATATACTGTTGGAAAAGTTATAAAGGTATTGGTAATTTTATAAAATTTGAAAAGAGTTGGTATGGTGTATTATATCAACAAATATGACTTCACAGGAAACCCTCGTTGATATTTCGTTTAACAACTTTTAATTTAACTAAAAGATGTGAACTTTTTTCAGGTAAGATGAAAACTTGAATTTTAATTTAATAAAATTTGAATTTTAAATAGAGCTACAAAAATACATTTGAAAAATAAGAAATATTGTGCACTATTCAAATGCATATTTTAGCTTCTATGACTATAGTTTTGAAAATCAGGCTTTCATCCAACCTGTAAAATGTTCTCTTCTTTTAAATAAAGATAAAACAAATGAAATCTGACTATTTTACAAGGTGTGAGAGTTTTTTTTAGACGACATGTCTTTGTAATAAAAAGTACCGGCTTCGACGCCTTTAAGACTGCTGACATAAGGTTACTTGGTAGCGAGGCAATAATATGAACCACACAAAATATACACTATACAGATAACTAATACAATATTATTATTGAAATTGCAACGGATGATTGATCTTAATAATAATCATATTTTCATTAAAAACTTGTGAATTGAAAAAAAAAAAGTAGTTGTTAGTTAAGAATTCTTTAGTTCTATAGTTGCATATTATGAAAAGATTGTTGGTAAAATATATGAACTATATTTAAAAAAAAAACTACAATGCAATCATAGTTTTCCTTAGGGATCCGTCATTTTTTTTAAAAAGTAGTTGGTTGGCTATCTTTACTTTTTTACTATTTATTTTGTACATTATAATTATTTAATTGGAATAACTTAATAATATTATTTAAAATTACCATATTTCCCTGTATTGCAGTTGCAGTGAAAGCTTTTTTTATAATTCCATTGGTTCCAAAAATATTTTTAACATCCCTACAAAAAAAAAATTAAAAAAATTTTTTAAAAAATATTTTGGGCATGAAATTAAATATCTACTTACGTCACTTTCCTTTGAGCAGATTTTGCACTACCGGTGCAACTATGATCTAAAGGATGACGATGTTTAAAACAATGATTTTGACGACATTCACTGCATACCAAAGGCACAGCTTCTTTGCCTCGACATTTTGTTACCATGCATCTATTTGTGAACACCTATAATAACAATTGTTTGTTTATAATGCAAGATTAAAGATTAATCATAGAAATTTTGAAGAAATACCTTTCTACCCTCAGTAAACCGACAGTCATTGTCAATGTGTTGCCCAACAGTAAAATCTGGTTCTTGTCCTCGTGGTACTGGTACTGGTTTGTTGCACAAAGGACACATGGGAACTTGAACATTTTTCTTGTATGCAGATTGACATTGATGACTGCTGTAGCTCATGTGATCAGAACTGCGACATCAGAGATGAATCATCTTATATAGTTATACATAGATAAAAAAAATATATAAACAAAGCATTTCAAGAGTATAACTTACCAAAATATACCTGAACAGGCATCACATTTAACTGGCAGGAAATCTAAATTAAAAATGTTAATACAATTGTAAAGCTTCATTAACAATTAACAATTAATAATTACAAATTCTTAATCACAATAGAATATAGGTTATAGGTATTGATATACTCTGTTAATTGAATAAATAAATATGGTATACAATATGGCTATTTACCTAGATATATTAAGTCTCAAATAAGTCATATTTATAAGAATATTTTATTTTGAATAAAAAAAAAATATACATATAAATATAAGAATGTGGTGATTAAGTATAGGTTACAAATTGATTTTTGACTGACGCTTGGCAGCAAAGTAGACCCATGTACCTACATAATTTTATTAACTTCTTACTGGATTATTTTACTTCATATTCTATAAGTGAAGTTAGCGGAATTTTTCTGTTTTACCTGGCACCTTTTTTTTGTTTTAGGGTTTGTAGTCTAGGAAAACGATGGTGAAGTCAGAATTAGGTTGTCAGACTTAGTTTTAAAGTTATAGTTAATTGAAAATTGTAGTATTTTCATATAAACTTAATGTGGTTGCTTGCTCTACGTGCTGACTCTGACCAATTATAATCAAAAACATTGTTATGTAAGACTACCTTGGATGGGTCTCCAACTTTAAATAGCTATAACTTCAAAGATAAAACCGACTACCAAATTCTTCACCATTGTTTTCAGTATACCTAACAACATACGTAGACAAAAAAAAAATCGCAAAAAAGGGCATCCGATAAAACAGAAATATACAGGATTAGATTGCTGCTTAACAAATATCAACCGTAAAAGTAAGTACAGAAGGGAAACCTAAGTTAAGTAAGGTAAAACTATTAACTAGGATTTAGATTTGTATTATATTATTATGATTATCCCAAAGAATTGTTAAGATTAATCGTAACTCACCAAAACGTTTGCACGTCTCTTTGCTGCAGTTTTGACCCAAGTTTGGGAATTCCATGACGGTACAAGTGGAAAAGGTGCAAGTGAAAAACAAAGAAACTCGTCAAACAAGGAACTCCGAACCAGGCTTCCGTGTTTCTAAGGTAAATCTGTGCGACTGTACAGTGATTATGTTGCGCGTTTTGTATCAACGGAACATTCCCACTTTCCCAGTTCTCGTGACTGATGACTAGCTACAGAATTAGGGAAGGAGACTGCCGACCATTGACAAGAACGGAGAGACGTATTTACGCCAATACGCGCAATTCGCACAATCCCAGTACACAGGTGTGCATAGTCATTATCATCAATGTGCTGAATCACGGCTTTATCAGTGTCACGCAGCCTGCGCTGGCGCTAACAATGACGTCACGTTGTGCCGTTAACGCATGAAGACTAGAATGTTCTTTATGCGTCAACGTTATCACGGTTCTCATGACGACAGCAATAACAACAACAGTCAACAACAACGAACTCAAACAGAGAAGAAGTAAAAAAATTGTGAAGAAAAAAATCTCATTGCCAAGGAAAATTGATAACGAAATATCTTTATTATTTATTAATAATTAAATAAAATACATTATGATGTAGTTATAAAAAGGTAATATTACTGGATATGGGAATTCGGTGTGTTTTCTCTATACTTACAGAGTGATTTACCCACAGATTTAAAATATTAAGTACTTTATATCTGTGGATTTACCAAGCATAATTACCCCTATTTTTTTCACTGATCATACATTCATTCAAATTCTGATTTTCAGAATTTTTAAGTATGCTTAAAGACCATAATATAAAATATTATTTTAAAATTCTTGAGATTTTTGTATTACTTAGAACACTTAGGAGTGTCCAGTGCGCTACAACTACTGTTTTTAAAATGAGAACCCCAATTAGGTATCTTTTACTGGAAATTATTTAGTAAACAATTGTTGATGCAGGTACCTAATCAAAATTTCGTAAGAGACAAGAGTAGTTTCTCAATATTATTAAGATAATATTTGAAGTAAGGAAAATGATAATAGTTATTATTAAATTATTTAAAAATATATATAAAAGAGTTGTAATATTGGACGTAGTTTTTGTTGTATTTATTTTACTTGGTCCATTTTTACAAATTATAAACGTTGATAGATTAACTAATAAAATTATCTAATCACCATATCTTCCAAACCCATTATCATGGATCTATTATTTTTATGCCGGGTTGAATGAACAATCACTAAACATTTAACGAATCAATAGTGAGCAAATAATCCTTTAAATATGGTTTAGCGGTCCATGATTGATCCATTAAATTTTTTTGGGTCGTTAAATTATTAATTTTTTCATGTAACCCGGCATTAGTATATTATTTATAAAGTTAAATAACTCTAAAACTATAGGTACTCGAATAGTCGAATTTGATACCTATGTCAAAGTTTTTAGAAAATTATCGGCTACAAAATGTATACCTACCTGTAGGCTATAGTAGAAAAGGTGGTTTCTTAAATGAAAAATGAAAGTTTAGTATTACAAAAAAAATTGTATGGTCTTTAAGTATATAATTTAAAAAAATTAGATTTTGAATAACTGCATTGTTGAAGAAAAATGGGGGTTACCAATAATATATACTATTATAATAATTAATAATAAAATAAATGCAATTTTCAGCAAAATTACAAAAACGAATTCAACCTTCTGTATTATTAGCAGTGTGGAACGTTCACTAATAAAAAGGAACTCGTTCTAGTTCGTGTTTTTTTCAAATGAACATGTCCAAGTTCACGTTTAATTTTTTTATAATAAGAACTATGATAAGAAAATGTTATTATATACTATATATAGGTAATATAATTAATCAATATATTTTAAACATATATTTATTAAATGGTAAATAAATTGAGCATCTTAAAAATCGTTCAAATTCATTAATATATAAACTTCATTCACTTCCACGTTCAATTTGAAAAAAAAACGAGTGACGTTCGCGTATCGTTCATTGCAGTATATATATGCACGTGTGTTCATGAACGGCGTTCTTTCCAAACACTGATTATTATTACCTAGTAAAATAGTTTTTTATAATAGTAATATCATTGTAAAAATATAACATAATAAAATATACTTAGTAAATAGGACTACTCATCATAGTTAGTAGGTTATAATGTTATATAGGCTGGCGGACCTTCCGAAGACCGTCCATAGACAAAGAAAATAATGGGTTCATCTCAAAATCGTTTTTTCGTATGATGCAATGATTTATCATGGAATCCAAATTTAACACATCCATTAAAGTGACCTTCTCAATGACGAGGCACACTCTATGCCCATTTTATAACAATGTGGATGAATACTTGCCAACTTTTTCTTTTGATGTGTTTTAAATATTAAATGGTAAAAACATAATTAATGAGAAAAAATAATTAAAAAATGACATAGTAGGTATTTATTTTAAAGACGGATATTTTGAGAAAGTAAAATATAAAGTTGTACCTTAAATATTAATTTTGTTTGTGTGCATTAGGTAGTTATATTTCAAAATATCATTGAATTACAAAAGGTCCAAAAAAAGTTAGTGATTATTTTGTCACTACTACATTCTAAGCATCCAAATTGCGAATAAATAGTTAATATGCATAACGACATATCGTACATCAAATATCAACTGCCACGCTGATCCATCGTCAATAAATGCAATAAGTACATCTATATCATATTAAAATTATCGAAATATAAAAATAAGTATAGTAATAATGGCCATAGAGGGTACGAGGCACGTCAAATAATTTTGTCGAGCGGTAACCGCGATGTAGAGAAGATAATGTCGGTGGTAACAAAAGTGGTAATTCACTAGTTTTAAGTATTTGGCGGTAAATGTAATAACTATTATTATAAAATAATAAATAATATAATCAGTCAACCGACGACGACGACGAGATAACGGCGCGCGAATTTAAACGTTTTGCCAGTTGGCAGTACTGCGGTGACCGACCGGTTGCGAGTGGCGCGCATCCGTGCCCCGTGGGCCGTTCTACGACGGTCTCCCCCGACGACATCGCTTCGGCGGCGCGGGCAGCGGCACGACTCCACTCGGTCACTCCCGGCAGTTGTTTTCCAACGTTTTCCGTGGGTCGTCTGCGGTCGGTAGCCGAACGGTTTGTCGCGACGAGTGCGATCTTAAATGTTATACTTTTCGTCGAACGCGTAGTTGTCCAGCTGGGTTTCAAAGTTTTTAAAAGCTGCAGCCCCTACGTGAAATCCGTGAGTTCGACAGTATTTACGTATTTTACATTTATATTTGAATATTAATAATAACATTTTAATGTATGCATTTAAACGGTATAATGTGAATATCGATTACCTACATGGGTACATCAGTGTAAATGTTTCGTTAATATTCGAAATCGAGTGTTATAAACGATAGTAACTTGTGGTACCGCCAATACGTACCTATCTTTGTAACTTATTTTTAACTTATAATAAGATGCTGGTATACCTACCTAAAACATTAAGGTATATGAAGAGATATTCAGTGATAGTTTGGCGGGTTTTGGGAGTAGGTAGGTGTTAATCTGCGAGTTTGACAATATTTACGTATTTTATATAATGTGCATCACTGCATTTATTATATATAATTTACATTATATGGTATAATGTGAATACCGATTAGTTGTATAGGTACATTAACGTAAATGTGTCGTTAATATTCGAAATCGAGTGTTGTAAGCTATAGTAATTTATAGTACCTCCAATACGTATCCTATGTAATTTATTTTTAACTTATAAGATGCTGGTATACCTAAAATATTTAGGTAGGTATACGAATATATATTGAGTGATGGTTTTGCGTGTTTTGTGAGTAGGTAGGTTAATCCGCAAGTTTGGCAATATTTACGTATTTAAATAATATTATGCATTTATTATATGTAATATTATAATATAAATTATAATATACATTTATATGGTTTAATTATGTGAATATCGATTAGGTACATACTATACATAGATACATTAGTATAAATGTTTCTTTAATACTCGAAACCGAGTGTTGACGTAAGCTATAGTAATTTATGGTACCTCCAATCCTATGTAACTTATTTTTTACTTATGAAATGCTGAAACCGATGTACCTTTTTTTTTTTCCAGTTTTGACTCTAGTTTTGACTGATTCTAGTTATAACTTATAAGCTATTTATTATGTTAGAAAATATTAAAATAATAAGTACCTACTTCATTTATGAACCTTTTTTTAGTACCTAGGCGTACCTACAAATAATCGCTATTTTTAATAACTTATTGGATTTTAAGTTCAAAGTAAATGGTTTAGGTACACTGTGATGAGTGGTTGACATTTCCTTTTTTTAATACAATATTTTATATTAACAACAATTATTACTATTCAACCATCATTATATTTATAACGGTGAGCATAGATTTTAAATGCAAAATATTTGTAGTAGTGAGTGTTAAGCTTATAATAGTTGTACCATTTTAAAACTTATCGAAGAATAAAATGTAAAATGTATTTAATTGAAATGAGACAATAAAATTACTTTATTAGAGCATCGCTATTGGAAAAATTGATGCAAGTAGAAGAACAAGACATTTTAAATGAGTAACTTTATTAAAAAAGAGAGATTAAGACGATTAAACAGTAAGTGATGGAAGTCACAAGATTCACCACTACTCATTGCAGTTGATGAGAGTAAACGAGGAAGTATAGGAACTGTGATTGAACGTAATTTTAACTCATGTTTCGGTAGCAACAATATTGGTTTTATCAAATATATTCCTCAATAATTTGAGAATAAACTGATAATCTTTAACATGGTACTTTACATTGGTGTACACTTATTTTCTGTAAGGCTTTGTCAAAAGTTTTTAAGATTTACCCACACCACTTATGAAGGATACAAACAACAAATATTTTTATCAATTTTGTTGCATTAATAATATTCTTAATATTTATTAGTTCATCAAATAATGAAATAATCCATCAGCAAATTACTCATCCACCATTTTCATAGGAGCGTCTCCCAAAAGGTTAGGTTAGGGAATACCTCTCCGTGTGCGCCACTGGTGCTTTATAATATAAAGTTAAGATCATTTACGATTTTCTTCATTTTCCTGTTCATCTATCTCCGTCCAGATAGTATCCAAGAAATTATTATAAATATTTAAAAATAATAATATAATATAAACCTATGTGTTTTTACATGTAATCATTATTTGGTTTTGGTCAGTTTTTTAATGAACTAAGTAATTGATTAAAATTTTTTGAAATTATGGTATGAATGCTATGGATTAATTTGTTTTCAACAATAATAATACATAATTTTAACTTTCAAGACAGAATATTGTAGATGGAAGCTTGAATGTAAGTACAAATTTAAATAATAGGTATATCAACTAATATATTTTTTTTTATTCCTCGTTTAAGATTCCAAACTGAGAATTTATGTAGGTATAATAATATATGTAATGCGTTTGTTTTTTCGCTGATGGGTAGGCGGCAGCTAAACAGGTTTTTTCGGTAAATATTACGTATGTAACAATAAACTAAATAAAAAAATCATGTGTGAGAATACGGCAATGAACTTTCCGAAAAAAATCAACATTATTGAATATTGTTTTGATTTGAGATTTTATATCACAGATATTTATCTAAAAATAAAACAGGAAAGAATTCAACACTATACTTACGAAAAAAGTTTAAAAATGTAAATAATTAAGACGTTATTATTCGGTATTTGTTCACAATAATATAGTGCAAAAACCATTAGGTATTAGGTACATTCCAATATTTTTATTCATTGTTTATTCTAGTTTCTATTTCCATAGAAACATGTAAATGTCCAGGACTCCAGGTGTTATGTGAAGGGGGTTAATGGGCTATTACTTACCTATATCCGTAGTAAAAATTAAATTTAAATGAAGGAACTACAGAAATGCGTGTTTTATATTTTTTGATTAAATAAATTTGATTATACTGTAAATTACATTAAACAATATACTATTAACTTTGTTGTAAAAGAAATGCCATAGACATATAGGATATTATGTTTTCAAGTCGTAGTCTCGGGGATCCACAATTTGTTAGCTGCCAAATGTTTAGAATTAAGTATAAATAACTGTATAAGATTTCTAAAAAATGTTTGTTAGAGGTTTGAAGCGTTGAGTATCTGAACCTGCCTTATTTATATTAAATTTAACTATATTTTACGTTGATATTATCGAACATTAGAATTAAAATAATTTAATTTTAGTTGATGCGTTCAACATGCATTAGTCAATATCTCAATATAATTAAATAATTTAAAATTTACTTTTGCTAAGTATTTAGTATTTATATGTTTTTATAGTTTGTACTGAGATCCAACATTCATCTCTTTCTCTCTTATCGGTTAAGGAAAGTTTAAGCAGTGATGAAGTCTTTCTCTTTTAAACACTTAGTATGGCATTTTAATGGTTTTATATACACATAAGCACTAATTTTCTTTATATTAATTTTAATAATAAATTACATTTATACGTTTAAATTTAATAAATAAGCCTATAATGTTAGATGTTACAGTATAATAGTCCATTGAATTCTTTAAAATATTAAACATTTAAAAGCCTCAATTTCTTAAGTAATTATATTCCATCATTTTGAAATCTGTGCTATTTAAGGAGATTAGAGGCATTAATTAGAAAATGTCTCATGTGGGAAACAACAAAGGGTGTTTATTATATACATTGTACATTTGTGTAAAATATCTGAATTTATATGCACATACATTAAGAACCGAGGGACAAGTTAATTACAGCATTAGTAAAAATGTATTGATTTGGACTTTTGGAAATTTAAATTAATAATCAATTATTTTACTACATAGAATTTTTGATATTGGAAAAACAATATATGACTTTATATTGTTAATTATAAATACTTGAATTATTAGAGTTTAATATTATAAGACATGATAACGTTGTACAAATAATTTCCAAGGAATTAATTTTAATGTTTGACGATTTATATTTAATTTATTATTGTGATATGCAATATGCTTCTACTTCTACTTTTTGGCATTGTAAAATATTATTTAGATATAGATAACCAAAACTAATAAAATTAGTTATTTATATGAGTTTTAAAAAAAATTGTATTATGTGTCTTATAAACATTTATGATTGTCCTCGTATTGTAACAATAAACTACTCTTGGATAGTTTGATGTTCAACACCTCTTATAGAATTGTTTTTGCATGATTAATCATTGCTTCCAAATTCACAATATTTATAGTTTTATACTATTATGCTATTTCTTTCCTATTCCGATATGAGGTAAGTTATAGGAATGTCTGATAGACATTGTTTTTTATAATTGTTATTTTATTAAAATAATTGTCCATCGCTGAGAGTTTGTTTTTACATCAGTCCTGATTTATACATGTGCTATCTTGAAAATTCTTTTTGTGTTTCAACAGGTTTCAATCATAAATATATACTTAAATGTTCAACTTTGATGGATTGCTGAGAATTGAATCTACGTAGATAGTATTTTGGGCAGTCAAATTAGAAAATAATTGGGAGAAACTGTAATAATGAATTTACGTACGAAAGTATAGGGATGAGTAATTTCAGGAAATACGCGGGAACTTACGGAAAGCATAATTCATAAAGAAACTATATGGTAACGAATTATAGGTTGCGGGCACATAAGGTTAAATAAATAATAATGTATTTTTTTCTTCTATTTTACTAGAAATGTAATGGCCTTCAGTTGTCAAAGCAGAAATCTAAAAATGTCAAGACCAATACAAAAATAATAATAATAATAATGATATACCTACCTATTTAATTTCAATATTTCAAGTTATTTTTGCAAAATTTCCATTCAAACAAGCCCCTATAGGTGATGTTTAAAAATATATAAGACAAAACATGAGGTTTAAATTGGGATATGCATATGTTCTGGCGGAACGGATGGTTTTAGGCCTGTCATAAGATATTTTCCATCTTAAGCGAATATTTTAATGCCACTCTTTTTACCGATGTTTATTTAATTTTGCTAAGTTACATTTTTTTTAAACTGTATGCCACTCTAAAGTAACGCATAACTTGCTTGTGCTCTACCGATGGGCTTTGATGGATTATCATTACAATTCTCTGATTTTTTATATTATACTTACGTTGTTTCAAAAATAAGAAAAAATATATGTGTTATAATAGTATTCAATAATCAACTATCATTGAATTTAAATTTAACACGTTAATTACAGCGAGCTTCTTAAAGAAGAAATTCAATCAAAACCTACTAGACAGCAGAGCGACTTCCCCGGGTTTTAAAATAATTATAATTATTGATTATTTATCGTTATAAATTAAAATTACTACAAAATCTTTAACTATTCTTACTCTTGTCAGACAATAATAATCATTTATTTAATTATTTAATATTTCAATAAAATGCATAATGCATACCTAAGTTTATAATTAATATGTTTAAGTAGATTATTAGTTATAACATAATGTAAACATTTAAAATAATGATAATTGATTTTCTTTCAATAATTAATATATTCTAAACTATTATTCTATCGTTTGTTAGCAAAAATAAGTGAAATCATAGAAAATATTAAGATAATATGGTATAACTTATTGATGACTATAATAATTCAATTATACCCTGAAATTTGATTGAATATAAAATGGTAATATTAATATATCTTCATCAATCATACAGTGATGGAGATGGTGGTGGATATACGTAAACAGTGACCTTGCCGCGCCCTAAAGCTTTATTGATTTTGTTGTTAGAGCAAAATGAAAGCTGCGCTGCCACCTCCCTCCTAAAGTTATTTATATTTTAATAGGGATGTTTTGCACATGTGATGCTGCTAACCGTTTCTTTTAGTTTATTGGTTGCTATTAATTATTGTATTGATTATTATTTTTTCTTTGTTATGGTAAAAGGTAAAAAACTTATACTTGGTTTATTAACATACGAATTTTTATTAGGTATTTATGGAATTAATAAATACTTACATCTATGTATAACAAGTATGAAAGTGATTTAATTTTTCAATTAGTATTAAGGACTATTGCAATAAGTTAAGACTGTTTCATCATTGCTTAAGTTATGTTAGTACTTGCTGTGGTTCTCTGTCATATGCAGAATGTCATGTCATAGCTCTGCAAAATATATAATAATAATTAATATTTAATAAAATTTTTATGAATAAAAAAATTAATTATTTTTAATTTCTTAGAATGTTTTAAATATTTTATTATAACAATTATATTAAAAATAAAAATAAATTATTTCAATAAATATTTACTTATAATGTATTTATATTTGTTTTTAGTTTCATAAGCTTGGCAAGGAATCAAAAGTCAAAAAAACAAGGATCAAGGCAACTTTAACAGGTAAAACTACAGTTACATACATATAGATTAGATTCACGTAGGTAGGTTATACTATAAAATTGTATGGAGGGAGGGAGGGTAATGTTTACATTTTAACAAGGTACGGATTGTTAACGTGTATCACATGTTTGTAATTTAATTTGTTTAAGTTGTTTATTAGTAAAATATATTTTTACAATTTATACACCAAGTTGTATAAAAAACTGATTGATTTAATAGTTCACTAAAATTTAATGGAACACCCTTGGTCCAGTAGATCAAGTTTAAGGTAACCTTTAAGGCTAACTATTGCCTTTTGGTTAATTAAATGTTTATAGTGGTTGTTTATGTGACTCGCCTTTACTAATATTAGTGTCTATACTCTATATATACTTAGTTATATTTGATATTATAATTTTAGCTACTGATTAGTGATTTCATACTTTTTAGAAACTAAGTTTAAAGAGTTGAAAGTTTGTAATATAGAGCGTAAGTTAGTACTGTACTACTACAGTTTATAACTCACAAGGTTTTCTTTGTAAAATATATTTTTTGAAGGAAACCCTTTTCAATGAAGAATGTGTATCTGTTTCCTGATTACCAAATACACACATAATGACTTCTTTATATCGAAAAAGACTAAAAAACCGAAAGAAAGAACTTCTCACTTCTTTTAGATGTTGCTTGTATGGTTCTAATGAGTTTATAATGAGTATTCTATATAATCGTAAATACATTCTAGATGATTTTACAAGCATGTGTGTATATAAAAGGTTAATAATTTATTTTTATGTTATAAACATACTTATTTATTTGTGACGTAGTATATTGTGTATAAATTGTCATGTAAGGAGTAATGTCGAATATTAAAGTATATTATAATAATTCACATATTATAATATAATAAATAATAATGCATAATAGACCATGGTGCGTACCTATGATTCGGGTTTATTTTTTTAATAAATAAGTTGTAAATTGTAATATAATTTGTGTATGAATCTTACGATTATCGCATTTTAAGCAATAATAATTGAAAGTAGGTTATAATTTAAGGATTACAATTTAAAAACACTCATTTAATTATAATATTTAATTTTCTATAATTACATTGATTATACAATACAATTACAATAAATAGTGTTTTGGAGTTTTGAACTAGCATTAAGAATATTATAATTATATATTTGTATAAATGTATACTTACCTATATATTTTATAACATGATTAAGATCGAATGATTATTTTAATATCTTAAAATGTATTATTTTAATTAAATAATTAATGATTATTATTTATTATAATTCATGAACATTATTCTATACAAATATATATCTATTAATTATAGTATATTTACAAAATAACCATTTGAGTTAGGTAATATTTAAAATGGTCCAAAACTTTTAAAGTGCTAGTACTTATTTGAAATTGTGCATATTTAGTATTACACAATGGTACAATACTATATACATATAGCAGAATAAAAAGTACTTCGAATAAACAAATATGTATTTTTTATTCAGTACATTTAATCATATTAAAATATGTATGTTTATTGGATAATTTCATAAATAATATGTATTATATTTATAACATATGTATATGAATACCGTGTTTGATGTTTATTCTTGACTATCAAGGAAAAAATACGCTATGTTAATAATTAGTAAGTAATTGCAAAATGATTATAGGTAGTAATAATGAATAATTTTAGTCGTTATTCATTAGATAACATTAGATAGCTGTTTGGTTCTTGGACATCACTGGATTGTGTTGACTATATGAATCCGTATGGTACCTACCTATAGCTTATATAGTTACTATATTTTACAACTGTACCAAAAATATACAGCTTCATGGTTTGCCAAACGAATCCGACCGAAACTAATTGTCGGCACATTATTATACATTATTACTGTTGTATGTTATCTAAAAGGTATACACAACGACAACTGTAATAGAATGATGAAATATAATGCGTTTCATATGCACTATTATAACGAATTTGTGCTGATCTTTGTCAGCATCGAGATTTCTATAACACTGCACCACCTTCAGTGTCCGTGACACGATTCGTGAGAGCATAGTCGAACTATACTACATATATATTTCTATGAAAACATGTACGTACGACAACGAATAGGGAAAAACAAAGTGCGGAGAGAGAATCAAAACGACCAGTAATTATCGGCCGTCGGATATATTATAATGTCCCGGTCATTAAAAATCCTAGAACAATGCACAAAACTGACTGTGTCGTTCCGGTGCATTGGACGTGTTCAAATAATGTAAAACACAGCTTCAATGGCAGCGGGAGAGGGAGGCAAACCGGTGAAAGCAGTGACATGAATGGGATTTTCGTTGGCTTTAGTGATGCTTTTGATGAAAATCAAATGTACCTATAATACTGAATGGTCATTGGTCAGCAGTATTATTGACTTGTATTAATATATTATAATTATTATTTATTACCAATAAATCAGTTTATGGATATTGTATAATAACAATAGAACGAAATGATTAAAGGTATTATAATTTATTAGATATAATTCTTATAATGTCTTATATTCTTAATAAATGTTCAGTCACTTAAAATACTGCATTAGTATAAGTGTGTAATACTATTATAATTCTATATTAGTAAATTACAAATTTAAACGAAATAAAATATGACTAAACAACATAATATAGTATTAAAAATGTATTTATATAATATTATGTATCATTTTATGGGTGGTTTAAATTACAAATGATAGGTTGTTTGTTTAACTTACACCATGAAGCTGAATATAATAATTATGAAAATGAGATGTGTAGAGTATTTTTTTATTCACAATCTGATCAAAATATACCGAGTAAACTAATATTTTTTTCAATTTACATTTAATTTATTCTGTATAGTAAATGAGCTAACTATACTAAGCTAACCGAGTTCTATACAACTGAAAGGTTATAAAATCAATTTTTTTTAAAATTATCTTGAAATTAAAATTATTATTACTTAAATTGAGCTCTATAAAAACACTGTACTCAATTTTTTATGAAAATATATTATGCCTATTGGGCACATGAATTATATTAAAATCATAAATAACTGATAAGATGTGATTACTTTTAAAAATTCTTCCAAAGAACAATTTGGATCATCTACCTTTTGCATATGGCAATTGAGCGATTATGGCGAGTTCTGTTTTAACTTTCTACTTTATTAGATTTTGATATGTTCGTATTAAATAAATCCATTTATGACAAACATGTTACATTGTCACGTTTACCCAGTGTTGATTCAATTAATATTAAAGACGTTTTGTAGAAAAAAAATAATGAACATTTGAACAAATTAAATATTTTACACCATACTTAGGTATATGAGGCTTATTTGAATTTTATAAGAATGTGATGAATGTTGCCTTTCCTCCGCTTTTATAAAAATAAAAATAATTATTAATTATTAATAAATTCTATAATTATGCGTGTAAGGTATTTTATTTACAATTTATTTTTTTGCATTTTAAAATTTAATAAATATTTAAAATTATTATTATACAGAAAATATTTTCTAGAAATAAATTATTGTTTTTGTGTATGAAAATAGAGATAATATTTATGAATTTATCTATCTTTAGTATCTATACCTATATATGTATTAATGTATTATGTATACAGTATAATATACGAAAGCTCACAGTTAGAGAATTAAATAATATTTTTTTACCAAGCTCATTTTTAAATATCTATCTGACGTAGTATAATTTAAAAAAATAATTAGATCTTCGAATATTGTCTGCAGGCTGCAGCTGTTCTCCTATATACATTTCAGATAGTGCATTATATTATCTATAGCGCGACGAGACTCCGTTATGCTGTAACGGATATATATATTATACCATCGCGATGCACAAAAAAGGATAAGATATAAAAACATAGTTCCTGTTTTTGTGGATGTTATACTGCTGTTATAGTTTTAATATATTACATTCAATAATCGTTGTAGTAGCTTAATTGAGAAATTACTTGTTGTCGTTAAAAAAAAAATGATACGTATGCGAAAGTGTAGCATTTTTAACATACGTTGTATTACAAATTGAAATCTGGGTCACTGTTTTGCTGTAATTACAAATTACAATATTAATTTTGAATGCTATTTGATAATTAACCAAGTTAAGTGAATTTACTAAATCTGATTAGAATACCGTGGAAAATATAAGACACTTTAACATATATCTTATGCTCGTTTGGATATTAGGTACCTAATGGAACATTATTCTTCCCTTAATTAAACACAAGCTGTTGGAGTTAAGAATAAATTAATACGAAACAGATCGTCAAAATTAGTTTGATTTTTTATATTTCATTAGAAAGAAAATAGGTACATTCTAAACTAGTGTTTATTAGGTATGCACTGTATTCTGTAACAAAGATTGACGTCCTGGTAGGAAAACTTGCGTGTGGTCTTATGTATAAGACCTTTCCGCCTTCTTCTCCCACTTTAGATACTCTACCAACAACTAACACCATACGAGCCGTCCGAGTATTCATCATTAAATTAAAATATTGTCGTCACTTTTTCTCCTCTCTTTCTTCTTTTTTATCCATTACATTGAGATAGTGAATAAGAATTAACAACAGAACTATTGTACATTGAAATTGTTTGTGTGTTTTTAATTTTCGTTTATCTTTACATAGGCTATCAATCAATAGCATTTCAAGTGCATCTGCTCCGAGAAAAACAATTTTCCCATCGCGAATTTTTATAACCGGGACATAAATTGTGCCCCGTATTGATTTGGTTTATTGTAAATTGAGTTTTTCAAACTTGATTATCTATAGCTTTATGTATAATATTTATAAATGTTTTAATTTGCATACATTTTTAAATGTGATATAGTGAAGTTTCATATTATCGACATACTGAAATTCTACATATAATTATTCCCCGAGAATCTGCTATACTTTCCTAATGACTATTGGTTTAATTAAATGTTTTTAAATAATGTCAATGATTGAAAATTATGTTCTAT